TAAATATGAAAAACACCTCCCACTTAAGTTGTCATTTTTTATTACGTGAGATTTTTACAGGAAATCGAAAAAGTGCATTCAAAAGCCAACATTCTAGCGAGTCCGAAATATCATAGGCGTATGCCACGTGATAATTAATATTGCATTCCTACCTAAGTAATTTTGCCTAATCAAAAACGCATTTCATGAGACCGGTTACTGACGGGGCATTATCTGAGCACCGCATGATAGACATTCGGTCGCTGGGCTACAGGCTGGGGTTCTTGCAGGTGATCGCCAGGAAGAGGATTTAGATTGAGATGAGAATTTCTGCTTCATTAAACCCTTTAGACGACCACAATCTTATCCTTTAAACATTGGCACTTGACATTCAAATCGGGTCATTTGTTTTGATGCTTAATTATAGCTAAGCCGAGAGCTCACTTCTGCTGCTATGATTGAGAGTATTTAAGGGCCACTTGGGGCTGCCATTTACCATTCAGGCCTGACTACTGATCAGGAACTCCAAGGTGAACGCAGCATCCGCAAGTTGCCCTGCCGTCAGATCAGGTTGTTAAATGTCATTCCCACCAATCGTTTGGCGTTACTCATCGCAATCGATAGAGTGCAAGTCCATGGTTCCACCAATAGAAGAACGAGTTCAACAACCAATCAGATCTGGGTTTATGTCAGAGGTCCTGACAGCTTGAGGCTGACGAGGGCCAATGAGCCAAAATGATCACTGCAACCCCCCACCCCCAGAAGAGAGTCCTTTCAATTATTTTCGTCAAAGTACTAATAAAAAAACGGATATTTGCTGTAGGATTATTTTAGCTTGAGCATACTGCCAACTGAAGTGCTCCAGGCTGCGTTCAATTAATATGACTGTTGTGTCCGTTTATTTGCTTCCAAAAGTGATCGAGGGGGTAGTTGTTGCAGCCGATTCAGTCCCCCCTCTTTTCTCCGGCTCCGTTTTGTTGAACAATGGTCGCGACAACCGTTGACATACGGCCACCCCCCGCCGGCTAGAACACCTCCGGTCCAACTCCAGTGACTGTCGGCTGACCTCACAAACTTCCATCATCTCACGCGCGTCGAACGCCCTGGCTTGATACTCGTGAGGCATTGTGAGCATGCCCCCCCCCCCTACTTCTCCCCTAATCTGTCGGTAATGGGCGGAAGAATGTCTTGACAAAGGAGATGATGTTCAGATGGCAACACATTTGTAGGAGTGCTCTACACAGTTTGCGTGAGGTTTGACCTGGACTTGTATGGCTGAGTTTTGCTGAGAGCATCCATCTCGGATCGCGACAGGGTGACGGCAGCCGCATTTTGCTATTCTTGGACACGGTGTATGACACCGGAAACAGCAGGACGAAGTCGCATGGGAATTTTGTGGCGCTTGAGTACAGCCAAGCCGAGAGATTGCGCATTGATCACGTCGGGGTCACCAACTTGTGGCGGTCAAGGATGTGAGATCAATTTAAACCGCACACAATAAGCTCGTTTTGTTCAATGTTAGCAGTCAGGGGGCTGTGAGGACTAGTTTATTCTATACACAGGACAGGTTGCCGTAAGTTGGCTGTTTTCTCGCGACAGAGATAAGAGCCATTCACGGAGTGTGTCAGTCGCGGTGTGTTGTTTACGCGGAGAGTGTCAAAAGTCAGCAGCAGGGGGTGACTGGCTGAGCGCTGGTTATGTGATTGGACAAATTAGGGGAGGCATAGATGGGCGCATACTCACAATGCCTCATGAGTATCAAGCCAGGGCGTTCGACGCACGTGAGGTGGTGAAAGTTTTTGAGGTCAGCCGACAGTCACTGGAGTTGGACAGGAGGTGTCCCAGTTCTAGCCGGCGGGGGTGGCCGTGTGTCAACGGCCGTCGCGGCCATTGTTCGACAAAACGGAGCGAGAGAAAAATGGGGGACTGGAGCGGCTGCCACACAGTCACATGACAGGAGAGACAATAACAGCTTGCCCGGTGCGCATGACAACGTCCACTATAAACCCCATCGATTGGAGGCAGCGCCGGTGGCCTGAATATGCTGTATTTTATAGTAAGGCGACTTGCGGTGCATCTACCGCACCCCCTCCGGTAATAAGACAGTTGTAGTGGTCAAGGACGTGAGATCAACTTAAACCACATACAATAATTTTGCTCCGTCTAGTAACAGAAGCCAGAAAGTTGTGAGAACGGGTTTATTCTGTACACAGGGCAGGTCGCCGTAAGTTGGCTGTATGCTTGCGGCAGAGATAAGCGTTCGTCCTGGAGAGCGTCAGTTGCGGAGCCTTCAGTGTGTCGCTACCGCCAAAAAAGTGTTCTGACCTTCTTGCCTCTGTCCTGTCTGTTCAAAATCACGTCCGCAAGGGCGGCGTCCCGTGTGTGCACTTGTAACCAATCAGCGATAGAAAGCTGCGTTGATTGGCTCCGAGCCCACGCGAAGGTAGTGCAAATTATCGATCAGGGGTGTGGCGTGGGCGGGAGTGCAAATCTAGGGTTAGCGAGCGCAGCCGTGGCGCGTAAACAGCAGAACGAGGGGACAGAAAAAAGGCTGCTACACAAAGTTAAGGCGACCGGAGGCGGGTTCGGCGCCAAACAGCTCGTCTACGCGTGCCACGAACGATCCGGTCCCTCACGAAACTTACCAGGCCTTTAATATTACGATTGAGATCTCGCACGAATAAGAGTGCCATAGATGCCACAATGAAAGGGAGCTATTTCAGCCTGAAATTCATCGCTGAGAAAGGCCGAGTTATCTAGTTAATTGGCGGCCCTCCAAATCATGTCTTTTAGGGTGTCGGGAGATAGTCAGACGCGTTAAACTTAGTATAGTAAGGAATGCGGTGATTTCCATGTGGATCTACTACCCAGCGTCGGTTTTAATATATATATATATATCTCTTGCCTCTTCCATTCATCGGTCGACCGTCCGGTCCGATCAACCACCCGTTTCTGGGATTTAGGACAGTGGCCGACACGACATGAACGCCTACGACTAGGCGCGCCGCCAAACCCCTCCATGCGTGGCTATATTTATGGGGCCACGCGTACTCCGCGCGGCATCATTAACGCGCTCCGTGAGCCAATCTGCCCTCCTTGCTGGTCTAACACATTTACGGCGCAGCTCCTGATGTCAGGACGGTCGTACACGCGGAAGTAGTAGCAATTAGCATACAAGCACGACGACCCTAACATATAAACGGACGGGTTCGGGAAATCAAAGTCAAATAATCGCGCGAACACTAGTGGCTGTAAAAACGCTGACGATAACTGCATAGCGGAAATCGGTAGCCCAGCCGCCCTCCCCCCGCCTCCCCAAAGATTTAGATGGTGGGTCAGGAAAAATGCCTAACACAGGGCGCGGAGAGGCATTACAGAACAAATGCAGATTCGCTGGCACTACACGTCCAGGACGACTGTCAAGACTACCAACAGCGCGGAGCATCTGAGATGCCCACTGGCCTTCGTGGGCATACTAATCACGCATACCTCACTGGACAAGGTCGACCGCAACGTCAGTATAGCGAGCTTCCCCTGAACACAACACCATTGCTTTACATCTGAGTGACTGCCGCGCTTGGCCATAAAAAGACGACGACTAATAGGCCAGAAATGGTCACTCCAGTCTCCCTTGTCTTTGTCGGTTATAACATACTGCCTATATCATGCGCCGCTGTGCGGATGCTGGTTGGACTTGAGAGAGATAGTCCGGAAGGCACAACGGGAAGAGCGAACCCCCTAGAAACGATCGATGGGCGCCCCTCTACTATAAAAAGGTCGTCCCATAAATTTCGTAGCCCTGTCCTGGAGTTTGAGAACGGGCTATTGTTATTCTACAGCAGGTAACAATAGCTGTGACTGCTATCCACCCTCTCCCTGCGATCGCCGGCAGATGACCTACGACCAGCAACTTGTCAACGCGAGAGCTAGCACTGTCGGTTTCGGTGTCGACATACTACTCAATAGTGGGCGATCCTCAAAATTGGGAGCAACAATATAATCAGCCTTTGACCACGGAGATCCCTTTTAATCCGTCAGGCTCCTCCATAGCACAATTATGCATTTAATAGTGTTACTGTATAAAGCACTTGGAGTAATTCGTTTATCCTTACAGTTTCGAGAAGCCTTCTGTAGCTGTCTGATGTTTCCGTTTTCAAATTTTGATATACTTCCCTTCCTTTTGACAGATAGGGAGTTCAGAGGTTCAACAACACCACCACCACCACCACCATCATCATCATCATCATCTTGCTTAAGTCCGCGACACACACCTTTGTTTTCATTAAACTTACAGATGAAATTCTGAATATCGCGTACTCAGTCGGCCGCTTGAGTGATTCGTATTCAGCCACAAAGCGTTACTCATTAACTAATCCCATGGAATTGGAGCGGAAATCCTACAGAATTCAACATTGGCGCATACAAATGAGTTACTGTTTCTTGAGCAGAGTAAATCGCCGGTCAATCTTTAGCTGAAAATGTCGTTAAAATGTCCTGACCTTCTCAGGTTTCCTATTCGTCTCGAGGACGGTAAGAAAAGCCTTAGTTTCGAAGAGAACGTTAGCGGATAAATTAGTTTAAAACCCGTCATTAAATTTTAAGTTACTTCGAACGAATCCGGCTGCTTCACAAGCGCTTCTCTGCCTTCTACATTAGTTGGACACACTATAAGAGCTTCGAAAAACTGTAGACTTACTTCTGATCAGTATTTGATGTTTTTCGGGCCGTTCTGTCATCAGTAGCAAGAAGGGAAAAAAGTCTTCCGCTCCTTAAATTACCAAAAGACCCTTCTGACAAAAATATGTCTGCAACATACGCAGATTTAAATGACCAACTTTTTCCCATCAAGTGGAGGCACAAGGGACCGTACGTAAATAACCTTCCTCTTCATAGAATTCTCCTCCCTAAACCCCCATCTGAGCGTGCCCGCGCCCGTTTGGTCTTCAAATTCGCACAAGTGACGCAAACAATTATCGATCCGCGCGAAGCGCTTCGCATGCTGGAGACGCGCGACCTTCGTAATGCCACGTCCAGATAGTCGCCCGAAAAGTGGAAAAAATAATGACGACAGCTCGGAAGATAGTCCCACACTCAGATCCGTCGCCTCCATAACACACTCCGAGACGACAGTCGATGAGTTTTTGTTGAAGCCCAGGGTGGCCAAGGACCCCAGGCGGGAAGACAAGTTCAATCTGGCCGTCTCCATCTTCACAGATGCCTACCTATCGCGATTGGAGATTAAGTACAAGAGGGATCCAAGATCCGTGCAACTCTATAATCTCTACTACAACCCCGTGCTGAAGGCAATTTACTATGGGTTTATGGTTTTGAACCTACTAACCATCCTGCTGGAGGAACCGGCAGCCATAAAGGTGAACGGTAAGGAACTTCCCTACTACGTCCCACTTGCGATTAACGTCCTCTGCGAGGCGGTTTTTTACTGTCGTTGGCTTCACATCTTCCTGGTTGCTGATTTGAAACGGATGAAAAGAAACAAGTCTTTTATTGGCACCATTGTTATTCTGGTCCTCATGACGTTGGACGATATCGTCTACGTCATACAGCAGGAGACTAATGTGGAGCATCCCATAAGATGGTCTCGTGCTCTCCGGCCAATGCTCCTCCTCACCTTCCCCGAAAACAGACAAATTCGAGCTGCCTTTGACAACATTAGATGCACTGCAATCGATGTCTCCTCGGTCTTTGCTATGTTCGTATTCAGTCTCTTATTTATCAGCATCGTTACACTGAAACTGCTGCAGGGTGAGAGACTCTTCTATCCAGACGGAAGCATCTATTTTCCCGATTTTGTTGAGATTGCCTGGGAGCTGTATGTACTGAGCACCACGTCGAACTCGCCCGATGTGATCTTGCCGGCCTTTGAGCGAAGTGCCGCCTATTTCGCGATTTATGTGTGGGTCTGTACAATGTGCAACTGGCTGTTCATGGGCATTCTGACCGCCTCCGTCTACAACGCCTACAAGAGCCATCTTGGATCGTTTGTGCTCAGGCGAGTGGTCAAACGTAAAAGCCTTCTCGATGAGGCTTTCGTTCTCCTTCAGAGTGATCCCAAAGCCACTGGCATAGACCGAGACACCTTCTCCCGCGTCATGCGGTCAGTGGTCAGTTCAAGGAGTGAAAAGTCCATCGAGCTCATTTTCAACATTCTCGACCACGACAATACCGGAACTGTAGATAAGAAGGAGTTTGCCCGTTTCACCGAGTACTTACAAATGAACTTTAAGGAGATTATATTCAGTCGTGAGAGTTTTGCCCAATTCATACCAAAGTTTGAAGAGGTGTATACTACACAACGCTTTCAGAAGCTCGTGACTGTCATACGGAGCAGCCCAGTAAGGATGTTCTTTGATCTCATGGTGCTAGCAAACGGGGTCACTTTGGTTGTAGCCAACCAAACACCCTACGAATTCATGTTCGAGTGGATCTTTACAGCCATATTTTCAATTGAAATTATCCTCAAGTACGTCGCCTCTGGGGGAGTTCGATTTTTTACGAATAGGTGGAATATTTTCGACATTGTTGTGGTGGTCGGTGCCTTCGTCGGACAGGCGATCAGCCAAACCTTCGACTACTTCGACTTGAAAGCACCGGCTTCTGTTAGTCAGTTTTTTCTCCTGCTCCGGCTTTTTCGTCTGCTCAAACTTGTTGGTCAAATTCCCATCTTCAAATGCATTATAAATTGCATTATAATTATTTTGCCCTCTCTCTGTGCATACGCAGCCATATTGCTCATATTATTCTATGTATTCACCTGCGCCGGCATGGAGGTGTTTAGCGGATTATTCCGATCGCCCCCCAATCACGACTATCACATCGAGGTGCCCTGTAATAACACCAATCTGGTAAATACGGATTTCGAAACCCTTCACTACTGTGCACTTAATTTTAACCATGTGGCCAACAGCTTCGCCCTTCTGTTCATTCTTAGTGTGGGTAACAATTGGCACATATTCTCCAATGGTTTCACTTCGGTGACCAATCGCAGCTCTCGCATATTTTTTCTCCTCGTTCATTGGCTGTGCGTGCTCCTTGTGCTGAACATTGTTCTGGCCTTCATCATCGAGGCCTTTTTGATTGAATACGACCCCCAAAGCAGCAAATTCGAGCAGTACATCGTGAAACGCCTGAAAGAATTGCATTTTGATGCCCACACGGAGTTGGAAAAGCGAAATCTACAGGCCTATTCAAGCCCCAATTTCTTTTTGACTAGCAAGCAAGTGAAGGAGATTTTCCCCAAAAAGGGCGACGTCGGCGACAGCGTTTCAGCTTTCTACTACATCCCCGACGGAGCATCAATCGAGTTGCTCATGTTTAGGATGTTTGAGGATGAGATCGAGGAGATTGCAGCCAAATACCAGGATCGACCGAGCATGAGAGCGCGTGTGGTGAACCTCTAACTGATTACTATTCGGTTTCATTAGTTGCGTCGAAAGGCGGGCTCGACTGTTTACACCTCTCTCCCTCCCCCCCTTATTGACCCAAATCGTTCCACGAAGTCTCCTCGTTTCTACCTCTACATACCTGAATCAATTTCGAGACTCTTTTGTCAATCATCTATGTTCTATGCAATGCAGGAACGAGGCCGTATTTCCAGTCAGCGAGTCAAAATCGCCTTTTTTCTGGCATTCAGCCAGACGTCTCAACAGCACTGCGCTTCTCGTTATTTCAACTCGCCGGAGGTAATCAGTCTTTCGCGAGAACGGTTTCGACTACGGTTCCGCGCCTTAAGACCAGTCAGATCACAATATAAACCCCCTTTAGTGAATAAACCTTGCCTAGACGCGTCGAATTCGACGAATACCTCTTTGTTGCTGGCTGGCTGACTGTGAAATGAATTCTTCATACACGTAACTAGGCCACTTTCCGCTATCTCACCGTCGCTAGCTCTCCGAAAACGCAAAGATTCGCAGCAGTATCCGGGCCAACTCGAAGTAGGCCGGTTAAAATCGTATTCCTCTCCAAGCTTGTCCAGTCCAGGCCACATCAAAGGAAATTAACATCCCTCTTTCTAACCGCTAGGATAAGTGGACAGTGTTCGGGTTTACTCGGTCAACTAAGGCTGCCTTGGATCGACGAAAGTTGACCCAACAGGATCCAAACAGTTTATCAATCTCTAGCCAACAGACAGCCCAATTTAACTGATCTCCCCTCCCCCCTGCAACCGCGTACACAGAAAACTTCTACGTCATAGCACCCTTGCAACAATTTCTTTTAGCCAATTTTGCACTGCTTACAGAAAAATAAATTTTGTCAGCTATCTTTACTTCGGATGGTTGCTAGAGGTTGCCATCGTACTGAGAACTATGTCGATTAGGTTTTAGGAATTACTGTTTAGGATTGTGGCAATGGCCATTTAGCTGGTGCTACTCACGTCTGTTAGAGGGTGACTCCTGAACACTGCTCACGCATGCGTGAGGATGTTTGACGTCATCGAGATTATTAGTTGTTTGGAAGGCACTCTCTCTGCAACGCAACTGAAGCATGACTAAAAAACACAAGGTAAGAGGTATCAAGTTGCCCAATGCCATCATCAGCTGGTTGACAGGTTCGGACTGTCGACGCATACATGGGAGAGGGAAGGGAGAGTGAGATCGTCCCTGGGGAATCCATCCTCACGGCACACCAGCGCATTCCCCACTATAATAAATCTGACGCGAGTTCAATCATATTTGGGTCAAGTTTACCCGCCCAACCTACTGCAACGTCTGGAATCCAGGAAAATCTGATACAGTAAGCTGACTGCCCAAGCAGAATTTCCTAAGTAATACATCTAGAATCCACCAGATGACTACCGGGCACACGAGGTGTTTTGGCCGTATTAAAGTCTCCCCTTGATGCCGTGGGTTCGAATCCCATCCAGGCACTGAGTTCCTCACATATGGATCAAAGTGTAGCAGAAATTGTCAATACACACTCTTCAAAGTTCTTATTAGGGGTTCTTTTCGATAGCCGAGGGCTTATGGCTGTGCGATCATGAGCGAGAACTCTTGCCTGGAGCCTTAACACAAAATGCGACACCTATATTTCATTCTGTCGTCAGCCGAAGTCGACGAACAACGATCTACGGGACTTCTAGATCCGCAACGACAGATATGGACAAATCAACCCATTTTCGCCACCAATGACGGGCGTCAAATATCGAAGGTTCAAGAACCACATCCCTGTCTTGACGAACTGTGTCAAGTCCGGGTTCTGGGTTGATCCCCTTTTTCGACGCCCTCAGCTGAGTAACGGTACCAGATCGAGGACAGAAACTCTGCTTTTATGGGGTGGACGTCGAAGAATGTGCCTTAACCACCCCAGTCATCTTTCTTGAACGAGAGAGTTACAGTCCGTGACATCATTGAGGACGACTAGGAGGCATGACGCCAACCATGTCAAGTACATTTACGGGACATCAGATGCTCGTGGAAGACTGAAATGACTATTTCCGGCTTGTTTTGTCGACGTCAGCCGGTGCTTCCGTCAACGCCAGACTGCACTCTCTAGATCCCAATCTCGAGCTAGATGATGATTGGTCAGTGCTTCACTGACGGTTCGACCGGTCGATTTCGACGGTGTCCACCGTGTGCTACACACCAAGCTGCAGCAGGCGCGATGGTTTTCATGTGAATTACTTTAAAGTAATACTAGATTGCGCAGCATCTACCGCACTCTCTCTTCCACTCCCCAGCTGGACCCGGTGTCAAGACAGAGTCTAGAAGACCGGAGGCGGGAGGGGGGGAGGAGGGTGGAGGTGGATGGCACGGTCGAGCCCACGCCTTGGCGTTCCACTTCACACCCCCTGGTCCACACAGCAAGCGGCCAGGTTTTTGACCAACAACAGTAACAACAACAACAACAACAGCCCATTACTGTACTACAGTCCTACATCGTATTGACGGAGGTCGAGAATATTCCTTCGTACAACGCGCACCCGGTTTATGGGCATCGATAGCCCCTGACGCCAGATAAATCAAAGACGGTTTCGCCACTGTCTCTGTTTCGCTGTCCGCAAAGCATCTTGACTGTTGATTACTGGTCGCCATGTCACCGACTGCTTGAACTGTTGGCGCAAAATTCTGAGGCAAAGAGGAAAACCAATTTTCCGTCCTGCACGCAGCACGCGGCCACCACGTGACCTTGGGCAACCACTCACTCGTCCCCCTGTACCTTGGGGCTCTCTCTAGGGTCTCGCCAGCAGCCTCACAGCGGTGCGTAATATGGGCGTAATGGGCTGTATGTGAGCGTCCAGCCACCATTATGACGGTTCGACCATTGCTGCCGACGATGTCCACCGTGTGCTCCACAGCAAGTTGAGAGCAGGCACAAAGACTTGAGCGTGAATTGATTTATAGTGGTGGTGCACTTGCGCAGCACTTACCGCACTCTCTCCTCCCCCCTGCCTGAGGCCTGCGTGAAGACATAGCCAAGAAGACCGAAGGCGGGGGGGGGGAGAGCGCAGGTCACTGGAACTTCCGGACCCTCACCTAGGCGTACCACCGCACTCCCCGGTCCACAGCAAACACTTGACCAGGATTTTGACCAACAACAGAAAAAGGGGCCAGAAAGAAGAGAATGACCACAAGTCACTGTGCAGCCATGCATAAAGCCTGTATACCCAGCGGGAACGCAAACGCATCCACCGGCAAGGAATCAGGTGCCAGAGAACTGCTCACACACCAGACTGCGAGGACCATGGTTTGCTGAAACGTGACACAGCATACGCGCATAGTCTTATAGTATGAACTCGACATGAGGCCGCGAATTTGGAGACTGTTCGTAAACTGGCTTCTAAACGTGAGGAGGCTAGCAAAATGATGACTGGTCTTGAGTCATAAGCACTTTATCGAACCGAAGTTCATCAGTGCCTCGCTGCCTGCCATTCTCTGTCGCTGCAGATCGGACCTTTATTTAATCAAGAATGGGCGCACACAGAGTTAGTGGCTTCCTGAAGCAAACAAGTTCTGTATGGGTGGCAAGGGTCATGTACAGGCAGCCACCTACTGTTTTGAGAGCCGAAGAGATCGGTGTGCGCCCATTTCTGATTGAATAAATATCCGATCTGCAGCGATAGAGCATGACGGATGGTGGTTCGACGAAGTGCTTATGACCTATCTGGTAGACCCAAGTGGTGGACCAACTGCGTCAGGTGCGTCTGTGCGCATGTTTGTGTTTCTGGTCCCAGCTGTCGGTCAGGGTTATGATTGGCTGAATGATGGCAGCATAAGCCCGAAACAGTACTGTATTAATCTCGCCGCATTCTCTGTCGTCCCTCCTCGCTGCTATTGTGACTTGGCCGACTTCGGCCTGGTAATTGGTTGCCTGTTCGTGACCTTTGCCACCCATAGGGACCTTGTTTGCTTCGTGAAGCCAATAGATCGGTGTGCTTTCATTCTTGCTTACACACATATACATCATGGCAGATGGGCGCTCACCGATCAGGTTACGGTTAGTAGTCGCACAGCGACTACTACAACTACTACTAGTAATGGTAGAAGTAAACGACATGGTGTCGACAAAGACGAAGGAGACCGGAATGGCCATTTCTGGCTTATTTGCCGACATTAGCCAGTCACACAACTGCCTGGAGGGTTCCAGGATGAGCCCTAAGGCACAACGGAAGAAGCACATTCCGTAACCTGATCGATGAGCGTCAATCTGCCATGATTCATATTCCCGATCACAACAAACAGGACAACGGGCCCGTGGCTCAATGGTAGAGTGTCAAACTCTATGACCAAAGATCCCGGCTTCGAATCTCAAGTGATTCACACTTGGGGTTGGGTATGACTGACTGATGACGGCTAATAAGCCAGAAATGGGCATTCCGGTCTCTCTTGTCTTCTTCAGTGCGTGACCGATCTCATGAAATATTGGCCGAAATTTCGGAATACGTTTTCGATTAGGAAGAAGTACTGAGGTGGGGTTGTAATATTAACTACTATGCGGCATAATCCCATAGCATTTAGGATTAGCCAGGATCTCTGCTTTTAAATGCACATCTTTTTCACCTCCGGCAAAAACCGCACTTTGAAAAAATGACTGCTTAAGTAGCACGCATTTTCCCATTAATTTTCGGTGGTCATAAAAAAATCAAATATATTTCACGGACACCATGCGCAAAATATGCTTTCTTCTACTCCTTTGGTAGAAAATCACATTCTCTTCACATTTTGTACTAAAAAGTGCATATTAAAATTTTAAAAATTTCTAATTATGAGATTTTTCGAGACCGTACGATGGCCATTTATACGCTCGCGTACTGCGTAGATAGTTCACAGATGGGGTATAGCAGTTGGGTCATAAGCCGACTAGACGCATTTTGAAACTACCCTCGAGCATTCTGACGTCTCGTACAGTGGACACCGGAAATATGGTAATCTCAAGCAGGCGGATCCTCATTGATACACCGGAT